TAACTACGATTGTGTAAACATAGCAACACACCACAATTTATATAGTTGTACATATTACCATGTCATTTATAACAGTGTGCACACATATTTATATAGAATTTGATTTCGGAATTACATGGTATAGTAATTAAAGCTTATTATATATAAATATTATAACATATAATATGGTCAAATCAGGGCTCGAAAATAACAAATTGATTGTAAGTTTGATGGGGCAACCAAAATAATATTGGGTATTCTATCAGATTATATATTAACTGGAAGCTTAAAGAAAAGTGTCAATAGGAATAAATAAATTATAATTTTGCTCAATTTGTGTTACACATCCATAATTTGGAAACAAATGGGATTATTCAACAATTTAAGTATTAATATTTTGTAAATTTCTAGTAGTCCGTTGGGCTACTAATTTTGAAAAATGATAGCCAAGGACAAGTTTTGGTAGTCTGTATGCCTGGATTTACTGTTAACTCCGAACGCTAACTGTTCAAACCCAACTATGGGGTGATCATTAAATATGGTCCTCCCCTCTGCCCTATGGTGTGGCATAAGAAAGCTGATTCATCTGGCGGCCTAAATTTATTTACTAAAGAACGCTACTTTGTGGGAATCTTGGTTAAGATCCGCATGTGAATGTGTTTGATTGGACCTGGGTAATGCTAGAATAATGCATTGTGCCATTAGGACACCATGTCTTACACACACACCTGTCAGATTTGTATTATTCTTATTATTCTTATTATTCTTATTCTTATTCTTATTATTATTATTATTATTATTATTATTATTATTATTATTATTATTGAACATTGCAATACAATAATAAAGTTATATTCTATATGAATTCTTGTAACCGAGAGATACTAATCGAACAACACCACCTTAGTCGCCGCAATGTATATGCTGAAAATTTGAATTTTGTGCAGTATTTCAAGATTTGTTGACGTCGTATAACGATGTTCATTGCTTCTATTTATTCCATCACGGTAATTCTATGACAAGTTGTGTATGATATATATATATGGGTGAATTGCATTACATTTTTCATTTAACTGGAAATGTGTCGTTATATTGCGTTCTAATTAGGTCCCAGTGCAGTTTGCATTGTACAACAATGCTTTCTTCGGGTCGACTAGTCTGTATATCAACATTGGCATGGTTTAATAACACAATATAATAATAACTAGCAAATTACTGTACTAATTACTCACAAATAACTGTCAGAACGGCTGATTTTGAGTCACCAGATCCAACACCATTGTCAGCAATACAAGTGCATGTACCATAGTCAGATTTCACAATATTGGATATTGTCAATGATCCATCAGTCACTGCATATCTACCACCTATATCAATATCAGTGCTGTCTTTCTGCCATGTATATGTAACATCAGGTACACCAGTAGCTGTACACTCAAATGTTACAGATCCATCTTCATTTACTGTCTGGTCAGATGGTGGTGTAATGATATTTGCTGGTTCTAAGTTATCATAAATAAATAGAATATATGATTAGGATTTATCAGGTTTGCCAGTATCTGTACATTGTAATGTGACTGATCCAGTACCTACTATTACTGTCTGATCACATGGTGACGTAATGATGGATACTGGTTCTAAGATATCATAAATAAATAGATTATATGATTAGGATTTATCAGTTTTACCAGTATCAGTACATTGTTATGTGTCTGATACCTACTACTGTAGTGATGTAATGATGGGTACTGGTTGGAGTGGTGTGGTGCATATCAAGCTGATTGGTATAACATTTCACGTGCATTCCAGACGTACAATGACCATTGAAGAACATAGACTGTATATTTGGAAAAGAGTAAAATCTGTCAGTGTGTGCTGGTTTTATGACCTTCATGGTTCAATTGTGGTTCAAATTTGTTTAGGTACGTTTTTACTTAATCTTTAGAAGACAGCTACTGTATGTTGATATCATATGACCAAATATAATATTTTTCGGACCAACTCTCATAGATTAAGCTGATTAGTGATGTCACAATCTCTAACTGCTTGCAAGAATCAACCAAAAAACCATCATTCACAATGATCACATTTTAGTTGGTATTTATATCCTATCATCAAAGGAAACCAGGTATATGAAACCGTAAAATTAGGTCTCACTCATATGAATGAGACGCTTGTAAATTAACATATCCTATTTAAATATCAAAAACCAATGGCGATAAATGGATACCTGCATGATGTATTATGCAGCATCCAAATAGTCCAGTGACCTGTTTTTAAAAGCCACTCACTCTGCGGCTCACATTTTTATATTTTAGCAGGACAGCCACTATGTGGTTTTAGGTACTGTTCTGTGCCAATGTGTGCAAACAATTGTGGCTTCATTTCCTTGAATGAATTTGACACTGAACCGTCACTCCGGCTTGTCAATTTACTGTTAATATACACAATAACTCGCCCACAATTTAGTTAAAATGTTGCCAATATGTCTCTATAAGAGTAAATACATTGACGGGTCGGGGAATTACTTATTTATTTAGCTGCAGCCGATAAACCGGTCACAACGAAAGTAAAAAGAACGGCATTCATAGTATACACAAGTGAATAGGACGCGCTAAGACGCGTTTGGAATATTAAAAATATGTTGACACTTTAATATTGTACTTATCATAATCATGTATCATGTTCTTAGTCAAAGGAAGCTTTTGATATTGCAATGCACTTATTCTTCATATTAAATCCAGCGATTATACAAAAAAAACAATGCTCTCTGATACACTTATAGATTATCAGATGAGAAATTATTTGACTGGCCGGACTCATTTTGAGTGGGTTACAACCCTAATACCTAATTTCATATATGCATCGTCTATACATACCAACAATTGTAATATATGCAGAATAATACTGTGGTATTGCATCTGCCACCCTACATTGCCACTCTCCGGCATCACTACGTTTAACTGGATTAATGGTAAGATGGTATTGTCCGATATTCTGGTCACCAGTAATAGAACATGTGTCACATCCTATGACTAGAGGACCTTGTGAAACTATTCTTGTTGGATCCACGGATGTCTGTCTCCATCCTGGCAATAAATTTGGTGTTAAGTTGTCTAGTCCACATAATAACTCCACAGATGTGTCTAATTCAACTGCTGAGTTCCTTGGTATATCTCGCCATGTTGGTGCAGATGACACTAAATAAAATACATGAAAGTATGTCATGTTATCATATCAAATATGTGAAATACCAACATATGATATTACAAATGGCGATGATGATAATATGCTGAATATAATAATAATCTGATAATTAATAAAAAGATTGATACCGTTAGGTTTAGATAATAACAAATTATATTAAACACCAATAATATATAATAAACTCAAACTTCGCTAGAGTGTCTAAGTTTATTTAATCTTGTCCGTGTAACAATAATACAACCGAGATAAAAGTAATAAAACCGTTTGCAACGATGGCAGTTGCAAGACATGATTTAATGCATTATTGTGTAAATCCAAAGCTGTCTCTTTGTCCTCATGATAAAAGAGAAAGAGAAAATTATTTACAGAATATTTACATTTGAATTCATATGTTACAGATAAATGTATTTGCTATATTACTACGGCATATTTTACCATTGTTGTAAATCATATATTGCACCTTGACTAGAACTGAGCAGCCTTTATCAAAGTGCAACAGCTGGAGTTAACTGGGTGATAGACTTCTCCCTCAATTCAATAATGTTGGCAAAGGATTCCAAAATAACAACATCAACTACAGCAGGTAGAGCTTCTAACGACTGCGCATTTATATTTCCGATATAATTGTCTGGGTAAACAGAGATTGGGAAGTTCATGACAATGGCAATTTTATGCCTTGAATTATTCGTGAGCAAATGACAAAGCGTTCAATAACTTACTTGTATTTATGTAAATTAACATATGTTCAGCGCTGTGCACTTGAAATGCATGCGACTGCCGATTTGTATTGCTTCTTCAGTGGTGTGAGTAATTAATCTCGTTGTCGTGCACTTGCAACTATACATGCCATAGTTTTTGTCAGTATTTTGTAAACACTCGAGGTCTTGTTCAAAATCAAAAGCAGCTTGGATTCTTGCAGTTCAATTAATTTTATGAATTCCATGCTGCAATTGACCTTTCTATCTGTGTAGTCACTGGAGTACTATGAATATTTTACAGTACGTGAGGTCATACTTGTGGTTGGATTAGATTGCTATATCATAATGCAATCTCAATATTTTATTGAGTGTTCGATAGAACGCCATAACCAATGTGTGATTAATTGTTCACTGTTATATTTGAGTTTCATCAGTTCAATTAACTTGTATTGGCTCTGCAATAAATAAAAGCGAGGCCACTTAATAGCCTTAATGTTACATCGATATACATGACCTTATTAATTCTACCTACCTGTCACTGCTCAGTAACCTGGTCATAATGCACAAAGACTACTTTACGCACCCCTTTCCAACTACACATGACACATGCATTATGTACAAATTGTATATCGGGATCTTACCTTCACTCCACAGAAAAACACATACTACCACTGTGATGTAATCATTCATACTGTGGTAGAAGTAATGACAGCATTACAGCAGTACACTAACTAAGAGTACTTCCTCTTCATATCCGAGCAATCTAACATGAATGACTTCCTGGTTCATGACCCTTGAACCACGATTGTTACTGAACCCTTCGATCGGAGTTCGTGTGACTATACGTTCCTTTTTGTTAAATTGACAAAATTAACGATAGTTATCGTACCATTACTACTTCTCTTAGCGGCTACTTTTGGGGGCGAGGTTTGGTAAAAGTTTCACTTTCACTTGACTAACTCCCGAACGTACGCTGTGATACCATACACGGCAACTCGAAAACACTAATGTTATTTATGTTTGAGTTTTCGGTTTTAGTAAAGAACTTCAAAACAAGACATATAGTTAACTACCGTTAGCATCAGAGTTGCCGCCATCAGTATCTATAAGTAAACATCATACTTTTGTTTGATGGACAAAGATTTGTATAAGTATAAATACCATACAGTCAGTATGTTAACACATGGTGGAGCTAATATATACCATGTGTGTTGTTTATTGACTGATTGAAAATGTAATTCAATGAAATACAAAATGTATTACCAATGACAAATAGGTTCATTGCAGTGTTATAACTTCCCACAAATAAGGTGGTAGGTACCAGGGCTACCAACTCTTGAAAGAAGTTGGTGGACCAAATTGCAAATTGTTTTAAAATCAGTATAATCAATGTACAGTATATTTATATTACAGTATAAATATAACACTGTTAATAATGTGTTACCTTAACACTAATTTATGTGATAGCAATTACACTGATATTTGATTGCTTATATGTTCATAGTGATAGTTTTTGATGTATTAAGTACGTAGTAGAAGTTTTCAAAAAGTAAAAATATATTTCACGAGAGCTCATAATTCACACTAATTAAAAATCCACGTGACACAGATGCAACATTCATGTGTCAATTTAATAAATTAGATTACATCATGAAAATACAAAATATAAAATCTTTCTTTAGATGGGTACTGCCATTGACAAACTTGCCTTACTCAAACTTGCGCATATATTTAGTATTTATTTTCGATTGACAGCGAGAGCACCATAACTTGCAGTAAATTGCCTTTAAATGGTGATCGACTTTTTATTCATGAAAAGTCCGCCAGCCAGCTTATTAAATTTTGCTGCCACTGAACATACTAAAAATGTGTGTATGTAAACATAGGTGGGCTGGAATGATTCACTGCTGAATAAATATTTTTTTTTAAAGTTAAAGAATATGAGATTATTAAGAGAATACCTCAAAATGTGCACGCAGACAGTACAGCGTCAGTATCGAACGACCGGCTATGAGGTATCCTCGTAATAACTTTATTATTATACATTTTCCTTCCAAGGATACATCATGGGAATGTCGAAATCCAAAAAGTTTAGAACAGAATCAGCGAACTTCATGTGTGAATTTAGGTCAAACCCTGGTGCCAGCCATGTTTGTTTTTTTATTATTAGAGGACGCTTACGCAGATAATCATTCCATATTTGGAATTCGAATTTCCTTTTATGATAAGATAAAAATACCCCGTAAAATATTGCAAAATGACGGAACGCCGTAACTTATGGCGTTAGATATGTATAATAATATAATTTATTTAATATGTTCTGCAGAATAAAACGTCTGCCGTAAAATAACATTGGTATTTTCTACACATGAGTTTAAAGTTTTCTTTGAATCTGTTGCCAAGGTATTTTGAAAATTATGTGGGTCACAATGAAGTAATTTCTCATTATTTTCACAACAAGGCTCATCCACAGTCGGGAGCCGTAAAAGTCAACGCCAGAAGGAAAATGAAGGAAATATTAAGCAAATGAAAGTCGCTGTAGTAATGATACCCCTGGATGCTGAGTCACGGTCAGGGTTTTGGTGTCATTATATGTCACATGTATTCTTCAGTATAAATGTCAACAATGTGTATACAATAGGTATGTGACAACATATAAGTATTTCATTGCATTAAATTGTTATTCTATCAATCGATCGACACTCAAACAAGCAACTAACCAATCAATCGATGAATCAACTTATCAATGATGTCCGTGAACTAATTCTGTGAACTATTAAACCTTCTTTCAAAAGGTATCACGGGAATAAATAAAGTGAATCATGAACATACCATTATTTTCGAATATCATTTGTAAATATCGTATGATTAATGGCGATACAGTACACAGGTTTGGTAAATAAATTGAATTCACCGCCGATGGCGCTGTTTGATCTCGAATTCATTGAAATATACATTCATACATCACTCATTTAATGTTTATAGCGATAAGATGATGAAACTCGTTGTAGAGGTAATAGCCATGCCATACGTGGACTTACATGTAAGGATTAGAATCATGTCTGTTTTATTTTACATATTAATACATTTTACTCAATTTAAAAGGGAAATAATACAGACATAATACAGTTATAGCATCGATAGAGCTACATCTGTTATTTTACTAGTAAGTAAAATGACAAATATAATGTTCGTAAAATTAATATACAATATACTTGCCATACCACCGAATAAACTTGAATTGGTAAATTAATTGACCTTTATAATCATTTGATATCTTTTATCTGGAGGTCGCACTTTTGGTCAGTATCATGTAAATTACACTGGAAATCAGAATATGACTACGATTAAGGTAGCGAGAGGGGAAACATAATTTATAGTTTAATGGACTTTAGGACTTTCCACACCAGTTACTAAGCATGCAGTTATGACAATGTATATGTTTTCAGAAAGCTGAGATATACCAGAATACGATCATATATGTTTCGTCTTGATATTTGCTCAGGAGATTAAGTTACGATCGTTCCCGTTAACCTCCTAAACGGAGAGTTTTTTTGCGGCATTGGCCATTTTTCGGTGTTCCTTTTTTCTATGTTTCTGATCTTTTCTCTGTTGCTTTATAAGATAATGATCTTTGAGAATGCGTCTCGAAATTTGTATGTGTCCCATAGTTCTGAAGATAAAGCCTGTTGAACTTTATGGACTTAATTTTACGAACGTATTCC